ATTTATGTTTAGAATTGTAACATTTTATAGTATCGTTTTAAGTATTTTATCTTAACACCTGTATTTCTTTTGCATAGGCACGAATGAACATGACGAAATGAAAGCACATAAAAAGTCTGTTTCGTAAGCATTTTTCCGTTGTGTACATATGCTTCGGTTGGAAATGTGCATTATTTTTCAATTTTGCTAATACGTTACACAAAAAAGGAAAAAAAAATCTTAAATGTATATTTATTCATTTTTTCCATGGAATAGACATGAAAATGAGAAGCTCTTATTTAACGCAAATCTCCTTTTTGTAGACATGTAGGAGACGCATTGGCTTAATATATGCTGTTATAACATTATTTTAGGTCCATGTTATCATTTATTCGATCATATTTTTTAGTCCCTAAGAGGGTTACACTGAAAATGTCTCTTTTATGACCTATGCAACTTTTTGAACTTAAACGTTTAAGGAGGTAACTGCATTTTTAAAACATATTTTTGATATTTCTAGATAACACTTGGGGGTAAAAAAAAAACGCATAGTTGCACAAATATAATACGAATAACGGTCTAATTTCAGTTTTGTCCTTTGGATTTGTTCACAAAAAGACTTGGGAATTATCTTCGGATTTGCTAAAGAAACAATGTTCACGTGTAAGGAGAACACATACGTGGTTCAAAGGGTTCTAAATAGAACACTGCACAAAATGGAATTGGCATTCGTATCATATTTTATAAAGTAGAAATTTTTACTTGACAATTTCGTTTTTAATTAGCTACATGAAAGCACCTCTATGTCCTCATGAACGTATCATCTAATGTTATAGACGATATTTTTATTGAAAGGAATTAAAACAGGACACAAGCGTGAAAGGTCATCATAATTTTTCAATTTCTTCTTGCAGCATCTGCAGAAATGTTTATATTTTGATAGCTAATTTTTAATGTATTTATTGAAATAAGTTACGACGCAAGAAAGCAGGGGAGGGGACTATGCTATCATCCATGTTCTCTAAGAACACTTTATGTAAAGCCGAAAATAACTTGAAGAGGAAATAAAAATACCGTTGTAAATTTGGTTTAGCTAAAATTCTTGGAAAATCTACAACATCACGTGGTATAAAATAATGGGAGCAGATGCTATAATAAATCCATTATCCTTCCATAAATATGAAATATGATTAAATGTACCTCTTTTTCGAATAATGAAGAAAAAAAAAAAATCATATTCAAAAAACTTCCTTCCTGACACAATAATATAAAGATTAATAAATAATCATATATTCTTACAACACATATTTTGCCCTCTCCTATGGGTAATAAAATTGTCAGAAGTGGGGTTCGAACCCACGCCCTTTCGGACAGCGGCCTAAACGCTGCGCCTTAGACCACTCGGCCATCCTGACATCATCTTTATGAAGGCATAAATCATTCAATATAGAAATAGCGTTGTGCAATAAAAAGAAAAAGATGACGTTTTTCATTCACTTTTTACGCCTTAAATTTAACGTTAAGCTTATTTTATATGCGTTTACGTTACATATAAGGAAATTCGTTTAAACATTAAGAAGAGCATTATATAGATTATTTTCTCTTTTTATGCCTTTGCAAAACCTTCCTACATTTTTACTTATGCTAACTTGAAATAATTTCATTTTCTGAATGGGGCAACTTCGTGTGGATAAGGAAGGAAACTGAGAAATGCTACGGGATATAAAACTTACAATTTTTCTTTTTTGCCACTTTTGCATTTTTTCAACTCCTTTTTAAGGGAACCCCCCTTTTTTTTCAAAAGAACTTCATGGTATTCATTTTGGCACAGCATTATCATAAGATGAAGTTATAGAAATTTGCACAATTCAGTACATAAAAATAAAATACTCGTAAACATTTAGGAAGATGGCTGAAATAAAAGGGCATGAACTGTATGTATAACACTACAGCTTTACTGTATGCAATATAATGTGGAACATACAGGCGAGAACGATATGCCGAAAACGTAATGTGTGTTACGCTGTGTGTACATATGTATGCCAATGTGCAACAATTTATTGTCCTCCGCTGCTAAAAATGTTGAAAATTCGTGCGAATTAGCAAAATAGTATTTAAAATACGTTGTTCAGTATGTTCAGTGTGTTCTGAGTCTAGGACTTAACCCACTGAAACACACAAGTGCGTCGTGGTAAAAAAAAGAAAATTTATGCTATTAATTTATAAAAGCTCATAAAGGAATGACTGGACAATTTACTGATAAAGAGTTTTTTCAGTTCTTTTACTTACCCCATGGGGGTATTTTCTTACAAGGAGAAAGTACCTTAAGGGAGGGTGATGACATGATAATGAATTTTAAAGCTGTAATTAGTAATGTCCTTTTCATTGGGGGAACGCTCCATCTGCCGTGCGGGTTATATACTGTGCGTTATGCTGAAATTAGTAAAAACAGTTCACGCGTACGCACATATGTACATGCATATATACGCATGAGAGGACGCAGTGGAAGGCATATAGGATTCATGTATTGTAAAAGGGGAAAAATGAATTGGTTAACATGACGTACTTGTTATTTTCTTGAGTCGGTTGATTATTTCCCTTTTTGCATTTTTCAGTAATACTGGTTATGGATCCACATTAATACAGTGAGTTTCTTTCTTTTTCTTGCACTTAAATTGTAATTCTTTGTTTGGATTTCCGCATATTAGGTATGCGCCCCCATCGAGAAGTAAAAAACTGCGCACCATTTTGGCATTGCATTACTACAAAGTACGCGAAACTGTCTTTTTTATTATTTGTATCATTTTCCTTTTTTTATGGCATGAAAATGATAATTTATGAGTTTTTTCCCACTGACTCGTAAATGTGAAAAGGAACGTATATATTTGCAAGATGAAAATGTGTAACCCTTCAGATTAGTGAGAATTGTAAAAATTGTGCGTTTTCATTGTATTGTGAAATTCACCAAATCCGCGCTAACGATGAAAAGGAAGAAAAAAAAAATTGAAGTCCTTTTATGACATGTGCGCGGAAAAATTCTGCATTAAAGGTGAAAATTCCATTTTATTCAATTTTGCCTCATTTTTTTGGAATTTTCTGCCTTGTGCCCCCAGTTGTACCTTAAAGTACATGCTCTTTGGAGGTTTTTATTTTACCAAATTTGTAATCATTTCATTTGTAAGATAAAGGAATGTCCTTTTAAAAAAAATGAGAACAGAACAAGCTAGCAATACACACCACGCATTAATTCGTACATAGGAAAATATTTCAGAAGTTGCATTTAAAAATGTACTTTTCTTCCATTGGTACTTTTTATGCCACGCGTTTGAATTGGTGTAAGGAATTCTCCTTTCTACTGTGCTCAATCCGCACATTTTTTTTTTCATATTCATTTTTATAAACATTAAAAGAAAGCAGAATGAGAAAAAAAATATAACGCGTCGAAGCGCAGGTAAATGTGATGACAAAAATGAATAAAGTAATCAAAATAAAAGGGGGGGCACATAAGCAATGAATCGCCAAACGCAGCAGGGGGAGGGGAGGAAAACAATTCTTTTAAAATGATTCAAACGTACATAAAAATATGCACATATTATATGTATACACAGACGCAGCACGTGTACTTTAAAATTGACATGAATGAATTAAAAAAGGACAGTAAACGTTAAGTACACTTGAACGCGCAGGCCATTTTAATGTTCTCACATTTTGGGGGGAATCAAAGTTTTACAAAATTTGGTTTTCTCATTCTTATTTACAATGAGCTGATTCGTAATCTTGTTTTTTTTCTTTTTTCCGTACAAGTTTATCATTTTACTGGGACAGATATGAATATATTATCGTTGGCAAGCGCGATCTGAATGGGACGTGTGTTATCATTTGACGAGCATTTTAAATAGACATTCACTGGGAAAAAGGCGTATCATCATCCATCAGATTAAGCCCCTCTCGAAAAGATGAATTTTAAACGATATACATGTTTCACCATTTGGATAAGGATATCACCTGCTTTTAATTAAATTGCGCATTTTCATTTTGTTTCTTATTCTTCTCATTCTTTTGATTTTATTCTCTTAATTGTTTTTCTGTGTACTTTATTTCATTTATTTTTTTTTCAGTGCTGGCAAAAACCAAACTGTTCATTTAAAATTTTACTTTTTCCTTTTGGATGGACGAAAAGAGAGAACCATTTAATTGCTCCCTGCTTCCACACTTTTTTTATGTAACGCGGTAATTTTGCTTTATGATTTAGTTTGTGGCTGCCCTGCAATTCGTTTTGTTTTCACGTGATGCACGAACGCAGCACACGTTTTGAGCAATTCCTCAGATAGCCCATTTGGCTCTTTTCGCAACTTTTTTCGTCGCACGAAATTTTTATGTGAACTGGAAGGGAAAAAACAGAATTTTCCCTTTTCACGGAACGTTTTTTATGTATAGCAAGTGTATACCCAAGCCGGAAAAGAGGGGAAAGCGGAGGGTCCCAAGGAAGAAACCGCCGCAGTATAGCAGTTACAGTAGTAGTGGCAATCGAGGCAGTCGCGGCGGGGGATCCAGGCCCTTTATGAGAATCAAAATGTGCAGCGTTTACTGCCACCCTCGTCGTAGCTTAGTCTTGTTCTGTTCGCAGAGCGTGAACGAATATTCATTCTTTGTTAGCGACTCATTTTAAGGCCAACCTGCCTCTGTCAAGTGGCATCTCAAGCGTACGTAGAAGTGTACAGCGTACCTTATTGGCACCATAGTTACAAATTCCTTCCCATTTTGCGCATTTTTTGGACGCTCATCTGAGGGAAAGGCCCCGAATCATGCGGAGTTGCTTAAAGTGTATGTGGGTACACACAAATAGATTGTGATGGTGGTTGGTTCAAATTTGGCCCAGTAACATATACAGGTAAACTCACCGTAAGGGGGAAACGTTACCACAGTCCGTTTTTTTTTTTTTTTTTTTTTTTTTTTTTTTTTTTTTTTTTTTTTTTTTTTTTTTTTTTTTTTTTTTTTTTTTGTATTTTTTCCCGTGCACCATGGAGAGGAGCGAGCATCACGATGAGAGTGATAATACCACATCCGATGATGACATATTGATTGAAAATATTAAGAAAAAAAACTGCTGCATCAAATTAAAGGACTCGAAACAGATAAATGAAGGAAAAAAGGAGGAGACGAAATCGAAGGAGGTTGCGAAGAGCAATAGTAAGACAGTTTTGAAGAAAGAGACGAGTACCGTTATTCGAAAGGCCAAGTCAAAAACGAGTGCGAAGGAAAGGACAGAGGCTCCCTTACATGAATGTAAAGTGGTGAAAAAAGATACGGCAGCTGCAACCACGGAGTATACAGCTAAGGAGAAACCCACTACCAGGAACAAGACAGATAAAAAAGACGCGATGGTGAAAAAAAGAAAATCAAGTGTAAAGGGAAAAAAAGACACTGATGCTGATGGGAAGGCCACAGCCGCAAAAGTTGTAAAAAAGAGAGAAAGCAAAGTCAAGAAGGAAACAAATAAAAGACCCAAAAAGATAGTTAAAAAAACCGAAGAAAATTTCGAACCCATAAATAGATGGTGGGAGAAGATAGATCATCAAACTGATATTCAGTGGCATTACTTAGAGCATCGGGGTCTTATTTTTTCCCCTCCATACGTACAACACCATATTCCCATTTTTTATAAAAGTATAAAATTACAGTTAAATGAAAAAGCAGAGGAGTTAGCTACCTACTGGTGCAGCGTAATAGGCAGTGATTACTGTACCAAGGAAAAGTTCATATTAAATTTTTTTAAAACGTTCATATGTACCTTAGAGAAGGATAACATAATAAGACAAGAAAATGAAAGCAAATTGAAAAAAGGAGATATCTCCAACTTTAAATTTATCGATTTCATGCCAATTAAGGATCACCTAGTTAAGTTAAGAGAAGAAAAACTTAATAGAACGAAAGAAGAAAAAGAAGAGGAAAAGAAACTGAGGTCAGAAAAAGAGCTACCATATACGTATGCCCTGGTTGACTGGATTCGTGAAAAAATCTCCAGCAACAAAGCGGAACCGCCTGGTCTATTTAGAGGTAGAGGAGAGCACCCAAAGCAGGGTTTGCTCAAAAAAAGAATATTCCCCGAAGATGTCGTGATAAATATAAGCAAAGATGCCCCTGTCCCTCGATTGTACGACGACATGTGTGGTCACTGTTGGGGAGACACCTACCATGACAATAAAGTCACGTGGTTAGCATACTACAAGGACAGCATAAACGATCAGTTAAAGTATACTTTTTTATCGGCTCAATCAAAGTTTAAAGGCTATAAAGATTTTCTCAAGTACGAAAATGCAAGGAAGCTAAAATCATGTGTTCATAAGATTAGGGAAGATTATAGGCACAAAATGAGGAGCAAAAGCATCCTGGAGAAACAGTTAGGCACGGCCGTTTATTTGATAGACTTTTTGGCCTTAAGAGTGGGGGGGGAAAAAGACATCGATGAGGAGGCGGATACGGTCGGCTGCTGCAGTTTGCGGGTCGAGCATGTTAGCTTTTCCCACGAGGTGCCCATTAAGAATGAGAGCAAGGAGGAGAAGAGCAAAGGGGAGAAGAGCAAAGGGGAGAAGAGCAAAGGGGAGAAGAGCAAGGGGGAGAAGATCAAGGAGGAGAAGAACAAGGTGAAAAACACGAAAGGGGAATCCGCCCCAAACCAAAATGACAACAAAGGTAGCAACAAACTGTCGCTGCCCAAAAATTTAGAAGACATAGAGGAAGACCACTGCTATATAACTCTAGATTTTTTAGGAAAAGACAGCATTCGATATTTTAACACAGTAATGCTGGACAAGCAAGCATACATCAATATGATCATATTCTGCAAAAACAAACACAAAGATGAAGGGGTGTTTGATCAAATTAATTGTTCAAAATTAAATGATTATTTAAAAGAAATTATGCCAACGTTGTCGGCAAAGGTCTTCCGTACGTACAACGCGTCCATTACCCTAGATGAGCAGCTGAAAAGGATAAAAGAGATTCGGGGCAAACCGAGGCACCCGCTGCTCGCATGCTATGATGATTTTCCGAAGAAGAAGAAGAGGAAGCTCGGAAACTTAACTGCGTCAACGAGTATTCTGAGCGATATAAGTGACTCCAGTCAGAAGGGGAGAAGCGGAGATGGCGAGGGGGAGGAGCAGCAGGAGGAGCAGGAGAAGAAGAAGAACAACAAAGGCGACAACGCAACGGGTGACAACGCAACGGGTGACAACGCAGCGGGTGACAACGCAGCGGGTGATGACGAGCCGGGTGGCAACCCCCTTGGCGATAAGAGTGCAGCCGCCCCAAGTAGAAGTTACAGCAACACTTTGGGAGGCATCCACGCTAGCGAGAAAAACTCGCCCATAGAAGTGGACGTTTCAAATGTGAACGAACTGATAAACTTCTTCAACAACGCCAATAGAGAAGTTGCCATTCTCTGTAACCATCAGAGAAGTATCCCCAAACAGCACGATACAGCCATGTCCAAAATAAAGAAGCAAATAGAGATTTATAGCGAAGATATAAGGGAGTATAAAAAATATCTGCAATATCTGAAAAAGGGAACGAACGAGCAAAGCTTCACCTTTGTGTCGAAGGTTGTTACCTTAGATGGATCGTTAAGACCAAACAAGGTCAAGGAAAACATGAAAGAGGATTCTTGCAAGAAGAAACTAATTACATTGATTAAGAAAGTGGAGCAATTAAAACACCAAATGAAGGTACGCGATGATAACAAAACAATTGCCCTGGGGACGTCTAAAATAAATTATATGGACCCGAGAATAACGGTCGCCTTCTGCAAAAGGTTTGAAATACCGATAGAGAAAATATTTAATAGGAGCCTAAGGCTTAAATTTCCCTGGGCAATGTTCGTGACGAAGAATTTTACCTTTTAGGAGAGTTCCGTCGAGGAGGCTTGACGGATGGGATGGAGCGACTGATCAGTGGCCGCGTCACCCGACTAATTAAATCGCCGCATCTGGTATGTGGCGGAGCAGTTGTAATTTAACCTTACGCAGTGTCCAGGCAGCACGCGCCCGCACATCAGTGTATGTTATGATTCCCTTCAAAGGGATGCTTTTAAGATGACAAAAAAAAGGAAAAAAAAAAAAAAAAAACCAAAGGGGAGTTAACGCAGCGAAAAGTTGCCTCCAACTCTGCAGCGATGCACGTGCCCCAACCCCTGAAACGGCTATCGCTACCACTAGAAGACTTCCAACTCGACGCGCTCATAGGAATACATATCGTCCACCGTAACGCAGTCCCGTTCACATGTGAATATCATGACATTCCCCACGTTGAAATTGGTTAGCGAATTGCCTGAAAGGTTATCCTTCTCTTCTTCTTCCTCTTCAAGCCTTTTCTCTATTTGATAGACAAACGTGGAAAAGAACTGCACCTCGAAGAGTACCCTGCTCCCGCAGTGAGCACAGGTCATGGTCCGTTCCTTGATGTATTTCTTCGTCGATTTGTACATATATAAGAATTTCCCATTATAAGAATACCTTAATATTTGACTGTAGTTTTTACTTAAGTAGGAATAGAATTTTACACATCCGTTAAAATCATTTTCGAAGAATTCGATATCACCAATGTCGTCCAGATAGTGATCCTTTCCTATCACCAGATCTGCGTCCTCTTCCATGTTTTCCTTATTGTGTTGTTCATACGTTTCATGCATTTTTTTCGCCTTTTCGTAGAGGTAGTCTCCCCGTCCACAATCATCTCCATCGTCTTCAATCAGGGAAATGTAAAAAGTGGGTAATCTGCAACTTCTGTCTCGTTCTTCCATGAAGTTTTCCTTTTTGTGCCTCATTTGGGGCGGCCCAAGAAGTTCGTCTCCCCCGTTAGGTTCACTCGCTTGGAAAATATCCTCTACGACAGGTGAATGGTTATGTCTTGGTTTCCCATTTACCCCACTAAAGCTTGGACTAATGGCGTTACCAAAGGATGAGCTGTTCCTTTTTTTCTCTTCCGTAGCACTCTTGGAAAATAAGGAATTCCAGTCAATTAATTTTTCCTCCATAAAAGTTACACCTTCTGTGAGAGAGTCTTCTTTTTTTATATTTTCACTGGAGAAATCAAAAATGGATTGTCTCCAATCTGTTCTGCTACAATTGGGGAAGACTCCTTTTTGAGGATCACTCAGATTTGCTCTTCCATTGTGACAGATTTCGCTTTTGGCACAGCCGTCTATCCATGACTCTGGGCCCACTTTATCACCACCCCTATTTTGAAATAGCTTTTTTTTTCCCTTAATGCAAACCCAGCTGTTTCTGTTCACGTTGCACTTCCCACTGTTCAAGCAGCAAAACAAGTACAGTATTCTTACGTACTCATTATACGACGTTGATAATTGAAATAAAAACGTCAAATCGTTTTTGCACGTTGGACACTCCAAATTGAAGTTGGTTGGTTGTTTCCCATATAACCACACGGGGGCACCACCAAATTTGGAGTCATTTTTCAAGTCAAACTTGTCGTCAATTTTTTTTGATAGCACTCCAATGTACATGCTTTTTTCTTTGGGGCACGGTTAGGCGAAAGTATAATGTTGTTTTATTTTTTATTGGTGGCCTTCCTTCACTTCTCAGCGCTCGTGGGACGCGTACGTATAAATAGACGTATTTTATATTTTATTTGCCTTTTTTTCTTGGCCCCCTTTTTTTTGAGGGAAACCTTTTTAAGAAAACTTATAATAACAATTACCCGTTTATGTTGTACATATAGCAGTAATCCCTGTGGGGGAGATTTTTTTTGAGAATCTATGCCGTGGGGAAGCCCCTCATATAAAATTACAAAACGGAGAAATGTTTGCCTCTAGGCTCTATGCGTAAAAGCCATTTGGTGATATTTTTATTTTTCATGGCTTAACATTTCGCGTATGCCTTTTATTTTATTTTTTTTTTGCCCCCTTTAACAGGCAGCAGGTCGTTCGGTTCTTCTACTAAACACGTGGTTGTTAAATGTAGAATTTGCTTCTACGGGGTGGCGCTGCAGTGGGGTCGTAAAACCTTTCCTTACAACGCGTTAGGGTTAGGGAAGGGCATTTTGTTAGCCTTACTCAGAAGGGGAAGAAGTCCAAATTGGGTACAAAAAAAAAAAAAAACGCTTAGCTATTTTTTGTACAACTGATTTTAGGAAGAAGGGGAAAATGAACAGGAGGTCGTTCTTCTTCTTTTAAGAGGGGCACGGTCATCCCGCCTAGCAGTACACATAGAAAACTTCCTGCATATGCGTTACATAAAAAGTGGAAATAGTTTAACTCTTGAACAAATGTAAAGTTGGGCGATATTAAGAGCCCGCTTTGGGGCCTACTTGCAGCATGCTGCGCGAGGAAATCTCCTTCTCCCCTCGGATCACACCCATCATGTTTCTTAACGTGGTGTGTGTTTTCCTCGCAGAAAAGGAGCTGTTTTAGAATTTTTCGCCTCTAAAAAAATTTCTGCGATCGCTCATTCCTTTTTTGCACCTCCCTTAAGAAAGGGAACCATCCCTCGGCGTATTCATACCCCGCTTGTCATTTCAGCCAGAATGGGTCGAAAAGGAAAAAAAATTTAGGGGCTTACTGTAATGTGACTGGGTTTATCGTTTTTTTTTTTTTTTACTGCGGTGAATTTGTTCCAAACGCGGAAAAGAACAACCCCGTCAGTTGGTAACCGCTTAGACCTTATACGCATTCGAAGTGGTTATCCTCGACATGCCACATTATGTAGCGGTCTCTTCTGCAGACGAGATGTTCTTCGCCATTTGTCCGTGCCCAGCTAGCACTAACCAGTTGGGTATCCGTTCTGGCTTTTTTTTTTTTTTATTTTGCTATTCTGCTATTGTGCCATTTTGCTATTTTTTTTTTTATTAACAGTTCAGGCAAATACGCGAAATGTCCCACCCTTTTGCGCACACGAACTGAGAATTTACCTGAACCGTTAATACAATAAATAATTTTTACATTCCAAAATGGTAGGAAGTTATTCGAAAATCGTAGGCTGTCTGCGAACTGCAAAGCCGTTCGACGTGAGGTTTCTTCCATGGGTCTACACAAACACATGTAATGCAATTTTTGTGGCTTTACAAAATTGGTATACACATAAAAGCATGTTGAATATCTTGGCAAATATTGCTTAGGTCTTAAAAGACAACATCGCAAAAGGAAGGAACATTTCTATTGTTTTTTTTTCTTTTTTTTTTTTCTTTACATTTAGGAGGTTACCTCCTGTGTATAAGAAAGAACGGGTGAGATGATACTTGACGGGGAATTTTTTTTTTTTTTTTTTTTTTTTTTTACGCTATGCTTTTGAAGGGGTAGGCATAATAAACGTACTGGACGGGCAAGGAAAGTACGTCCAATTTGTTAGACCATACTTCCTTTTGATTTTTTCCTTTTCCCTATGGCTTCCCCTCCATTTGTCCATTTTTGCTATGCGTGAACGGTTGCCTTAGCGCGTTTGTTAAAAAAAAGAAAACGTGGAAAATGAAAAAATTGCCAGGCTATAACACTTGGCCAGTTTAAATTCTACATAAAGGAAAAAAAAATATATATATATTGCCGCTTTATATATCGCCCCTGTATATGCTGCCCCTGTCTATGCTGCCCCTGTCTATGCTGCCCCTGTCTATGCTGCCCCTGTCTATGCTGCCCCTGTCTATGCTGCCTCTGTCTATTCTGGCTCTCTATATAGTGCCCCTGTGCATGTTACCGCTACACACCCTACCCACTTCTTCAAGCCGAAACGCCCAATTGGAAGAAACTCCCCATGCCTGCCTACACACATAAAGGAGAAGGCTTGGGAAAATGTCTAAAGATTTCAGCGAGGCGCGTTCCCATGAGGAGCATAACTCTGATGAGAAGTTAAAAGTGGAAGACGACTTAACATCAGTCGCAGGCAGCAACTGGAGCTCCACGAAATCGAATAAAAGGAGTCTTCATAGCAAAAATTCGAATGTCCATCAGTTGTTGGCGCGAATAGCGCAGGTAAAAGAGGGGCATTTGCCGCTAGTCACGTCAGACAAGCCTTATCAAGTGCGCAAAAAATACGTGTAAAATAAGAAGTAGGGCCTCATTTTTGGCGTAAAATTCGAATAAACACGCCTCTCTTCATTATTTACAGGAAATTGATGAACGAAAGCCGAGCAACGTGATACACTTCATCGTGGACTTTTTGTGCAAGCATTACCCGGAGCACTTGCACGGATTTGAGGCCATATGGAATGGAGGTTTGTCAACAACATGGCGGCCTCCCTCCGTTAAGCAGGCTTAATGGATAAAAACAGTGTCCAGCTGGAGAGCATGCGTCCCACGAAAAGGGACAATAAAAATATAAAATAAAAAATTTTGCACGAGTTCATCCTTTTTTTCTCACCCCAATTTGACTTATCATTTTTTACGCCCCCCTTTTTGTAGATCCCGATTTGGAACAAGAACGAATACTCGTTGTGGACTTTTTCAAGCAGCAAAAATTACCAGTTGAAATATCTGTCCATTTTGTCAATGCGGGATTCGACACTGTTGAGACGTTATGTACATTGTCCACCAGCGCCCTTGATGACATTGAGAAATTTAACAACACGAGATGGCTACCTGGACATAAGGTCCGACTACAACAGACCTTTAACGATATTACGAACCGAGTTCGGATCTTCAAAGAGGAAAGAGATGATCTGATAAAATCTTTGAAGCACCGATTTGTCGGTAATGCCACTCCGCGGCTACTCAATTCTGTTGTCCTTCCGAAGGTGGCCAGCCCTATGATACTACCAGCTCAACCGCATACGCACCCCCATACGCACCGACCATTTGGTGTTCCCACCAGGGCGGGAAATTATATAGCAGTGGATAAGGTGGTACATCCTCCGTATATTTACAAGAGGTAGCAAGGGATATGATCCATCACTCGGTTGAAGTGTTTTTTTGTTTTTTTTCGACTGAGGGGGAAAAAAGAAAAAAAAAAAAAAGTTATACTTTAATTTTTAATGAATTTGTTTTTTTAATTTAAACTGGACTGATCCGGGGGTGACGTCGTTCCGGCTGTGAAGTAGTTCGGGTTATGAACCGGTTCGGGTTATGAAGCGGTTCGGTGCGCACATGGGCCGCCAAACTGCGCAGGCCGCTCGGTTTAATAAATTTGCCTTTCCGTCTGGCAGAGTGGAGAGGTCTCTACGTCGGGATTTTCCTCAAGTTGAGTTATATCTACCGGGTGATAAATTTTAAAAGAGACAATTTGCTCTGCTTGGCGGATTGTCAGACGCAAAAAAAAGGTGTAGGAATCATCTCACTTGACGAGGCGTGAACCCATGGGTATACAATGTGCCATCTTTCTTGTTTCACTTTGCCCCATTTGGCGCAGCACCTGTGTGTACACAACCCGTGGGCCCCCATTTTAAATGTCCGCTGTTTTGCCCTCATGGGTTTTCAACGAAACGGAAGAAATTTGCTTTGTGATGAGAACTTTATTTGGAGTTTTTTTTTTTCACCTTTTCAACGGGGTGTCAAATTAGGACGATGTTGGGGGGAGGCGGTTTGGTTTGTCGGGGGCCTTCCTCCGCTCCCATGCAGGTGTGACACAGCAAAGCATAGAATAACATAACATCTTGTTGCATAGCGGGGGAGCAAAGAGGGGGGTGCCTCTCCTCCTGTGGTTCACGAAAAGTGTGGAGCATAACAAAAAAAAGAAAGAAGCAAAAAAGAAAAAAAAAAAGAAAGAAGCAAAAAAGAAAAAAAAAAGAAAGAACCCGCCCCCACTGGAGTCGATATACAGGAAGCCCACATGCAAACGCGCTAAGGGCCCACTTTGATGTTCAAAATTTTGATGTCCTCGAGGGGCTTGTCCCTTTTGTCCGTGCGCACTTTCTCTATGTCTAAGACGACCTTGGTCCCCTGGGTGACTTTTCCAAAGACGGTGTGTTTGAAATCGAGCCAAGGGCACGGGACAGTGGTAATAAAAAACTGCGACCCATTGGTATTGGGTCCACAGTTTGCCATAGACACCATAAACGGTTTGGAGTGATTCAGATGGTCAAAAAATTCGTCCTCAAATTCTTTGCCCCAAATGCTTTCCCCACCAGTGCCATCTCCCAAGGGGTCTCCAGTTTGTATCATAAAATTTTTAATAACGCGATGGAAAATGCAGTTATTGTAGTAGCCATTTTTCGAGTGAATAGAAAAATTTTCAACGGTCTTTTTGCATTCTTTGTGAAAAAGAGCAACGTGGATTTCTCCAAGGGTCGTATAGATGACTGCACTCTTAAACGTTTTGTTGTTTTCCTCTACCTTCTTTATAGGTGACGAAAGGAAAGAGTCAAGATCACTTCTGCTGGGTTGTTCATTATAAACATCTCTATCGTCGAGCTCCTGTTCGGAGATGGCCTTCCTCGTGAAGACGTAAAAGCGCGCCTTCTTGTACACAGTACAGAACAGAGCACAGTCGGAGATATTGTCATCATTGATGTAGAGTGACTCGTGAATGTTTCCTCTCGTTTTATTCGCTGAGATAATTTTTTGATAAAGGCCAAGGGAGAGGTACCTCAGATTCATTTCATTCTTCCCAATAATGTAGCACAATTGATTGGTAACAAAATTGACGACCTTAATTCCGATGAAGGTGGAATAAATGACATACTGATTGGACTCATCAAATGTGATCATATTCAATTTTATATTTTTACTCTTTATGTGTTTTTTTATTTCCTTTTCGATGAAGAGTCTCTTCCCAAAGTCTAGACTATCAATATGTAGCTCCTTTTTTAGGGGGTCATTCTGGGCGGTTAGATACATCTCCGTACTTTCGTCATACACTCTGTATAACTTCATCGTCCCAAATTTGTAAATATGGAGAAAGTAACTTTCTGATAGGATCGCCATGAACTCTCCATCGGGGCTGATGCTCACACATAGTGCGTACGTCTTATATTTGCATAATTGGTATAGGTCTGTTTCACTTTTGAAGGAAAAGGTGAGTTCCTTCTTCCCCATATGGGGCCTTTTCCTATACGTGAGGGTGTCATCATCTTCACTTTGGCTATCCCGGGTGGGTCTTCCCTTTGGCTTATGGGGGTCACCACCCGTATGGTCACTACCCTTGTGGATACCTCCCTTGGGGAAGTGAAAACTTTCCACGTCCACTATGTCGATTAGGCCCGTATTATCGCTGAGCACACATAGGTCATACTCCTTATTATACTTAATAATTTCTATGACATTGGAGCTGAGGTTGATTACATGTGTGCAGACGTCACTCTCTAGAGGTTTGTAAATATATATGCAGGGTTTCTCACTATCCGAAATGGCTACCTTCACCGATGGGGAGAAGAGAGACGAGTAGACAAATTCGCCCGTCTGAGGGGAGAAGTCCAATTTTATGATGATGTTCATGTCAAAGCTACTCACATCAAACTGTTTGTACGTCTTGTCTTTGGATAAACTTCCCATCACTTCTTCGTCTTCCGAAAGGAATAAACAAATAATTTCACTCAAATGGATTTTAAAATGTTTCACAAATTCGATGGATCCCACATTTTTGTACCAGAATTTTACTACTCCATTTGCGCTTCCCGTCACTATGTACTTTTTCTTATTGCTGACAAGGACGTGTGTCACCACGTCTGTGTGCATGTAGCTGACTTGATAGTTTTTGTTCGTTGGCAGGTTCTTCAAGTATATGTCGTTGTTTATTCGTTTTTTCTTCATGCCCTTGGGTGGCGGCTCGCCTTGGTGTTTGCCTGCCGCGCGGGGGCGGGGGTCCGCCGCCGTGTCAGCGGAGGCACCCGGAGTTACGTCTTCTTCAGGGGTTACGCCTCCTCCTTCAGCGGTTATGCCTCCTTCTTCAGCGGTTGCGTCTTCTCCTTCAGCGGTTTCCTCTGCTTCATCATCGGTTGCCTCCCCTCCCTGCGCCGCCCCGCTGGAGGCCTGCAGCGGGGAGGGGCCAAAACTTGCGTCGCTGGATTCGCCATCCGAGGAATGGGCCTCGTTTTTTCCCCCCCCCTCTTCTTCCCTGCCTGCGTCGCTTTCTGTCATCTCCCGCTTTCTTCGCGTTCAAAGGGGATCTGTCAAATCATGTTGTGAAATCGCATCCGTTATGTTCCCTCTGCATGGATGTTCACTTTTTGGGTGTAGGTATAAACAGCGGCCTTTTTAGAAAGCGTCTCCGATGAGCGAGCTGTGGCTTCTATTCCTTTTTGCCATCCCTTTTTGGAGGAAGAAATGACAAACATGGTATTCAATCGCTAGGAAGAGTTAAGATTCTTCCCATTTTGTTTCGCCTTGCGAGTTCATCCGTTTTGGGGAAAAAAAAAGAACACAAAAGGGAGAGGCCCCCATAAATATGTCGTTTTAAAGGTGGCACTTTTTTTTTTTTTTTTAATCGCGGGGGAGAGGCCCCTTTTGCAAGAATTTCCTTCAAGGTAGAGGGGACACTCGAAAAACATCGAGGAGAGGTCCACTCAGGGGGATAAGAACAAAAATGCTTTTTTACCAAATCCCCCTCTTTTAGGATAGCTGCCCGAAGGAGTGGCCTAATCAGCACCGCAGATTTTTTGTAAACGATGCAACGATATTGACACTGCAAAGTGGGGAGAGAAAAAAGGGAAGGCATATTACGAGGCAACTTTCCCCCGCGTAGGAGTCCATTCTTATTGTGTCATACGTCTATATTACATGCGTATGCCCTAACGCATTTAACGCGGGGATGTTTCTCCTCCGTTTCGCATTATCCATCGTTGACCGATCACCCCCTTTGCCATTCAGCCAGTTATAACTCTTACATTGACGTGAAATCTCCTATCTGCTGTTATTCGACTTGTCCGTGGGAACAATGAAACCATTTTTGGGGGGGGGGGGGGGGGAACACGCCTCGCCATCTACATTATGTATGAAATCGGCGATTCGGTCCTATTTTCTGCGCGGCCGAAATGGTCCAAATTGTGCGGAGGCCTTTCCAAGCAGATCGAAGTTCTCCGCCACAGGCGCAACAATAAAATATCACCCAAGAGGGACTGTCCACTTTCGCAGAACGGAAACAACCTGTGTAATCCAGACGGCTCATTACTGGTACGATCCTGCTTATCCGTAAGTGGCGTATCCTCCATCGTGCAAAATGCAACAACTGCCACGTTTAACCGTTTATGCAGTCTAAGCAGTTTAAGACCCTTTGGGATACTTTGCGGGGTAGGGGTCGCACAGGTGGCACACCTGGTAGGAATAATGTGTGCCATGCTGCGAAGAAAGTGAAGTGGCTCAACTTGGCGCACATGTATCTCCATGCGGATCGGCCCTGATTAATGCTCACACGATTGGCTGCGCGTGTGCTCATCTGTGCTTTCTTTCTCTTCTGCACCTTTCGCCGGAGGGGGAACCTTTTTCGCATAAGTGCAAACCTATGTATTTGGCCTACACAAATGCAAGAGGCAGGCTTCTTTTCCCCTCTCAAATGAAAGAAATCACACCGTTCCATACGTAACACGACTCGAGGGTATGTGCCCAATTGGGTACCTTCCCTGGGATGACACACAGAAAGAGCCATCATCGTGGCCGTTGCCAGCTATCGTAGAAATGGTCTTTAGGCGCAACTTTTCGCCTCATTTCAAAGGTTTCCTTCCCTGTGGTGGTGTTACAAAAATCTTGTTTCCACTTATGCATGTGCGTATGCCCAACATTTGTAAAAATTGCTACACGAGGTGATGCCGCAAAACCGGGGGAGGCATTTTTTTCACTTCCCGCGCGGGTGAAAATGATGAGGAGAAGATGCCACTTTTTCGTTTTCCCTTTTTAAACATTTCACTTTGAAATGATAATTGGGATAAGAAGTGGCATCCCCCCGTTGAGGGATTTTTTTTGTTTTTGTTTTTTTTTTTTACAGTGTAGCCTTCATTCTTTGCCGCCCCTTTTGCACAAAAAGCCCAGTTCGCTGGGGGCTGATGCGACGTCATACGTGCACACGCATGTGTGACATGTGTGAGTTTATTTAGCCGGGCACCACATGGGTAGGGGGATTATATCTTCGGCTCCTTTCGGTGCATCCCTTTGTCGTGAACCTTTTTCCCCTTCCGCGTGAAGAAGTGGTGTACAAAAGAGGCGCACAAAAGAGGCGTACAAAAGAGGCGCACAAAAGAGGCGTACAAAAGAGGCGCACAAAAGAGGCGCACAAAAGAGGCGTACATAATTGCAGCCAAGCAAAAGCGCTCGTTGATTCGTGCCGTTTTCACCCGCAGGTGAAAGACATCCAAGAGGCGAAGAAGCCAATAGGACACATGCGAGTAAGCTGCATGTTTGCAAGTGTGCGGTACCTTAGCGCAAACGTATGCTCGCACCATTAGGAAGGTTTACTTCCTTTTTGGGCAACGCGTTTGCCAACCCCCGGCTGTTCGCACCTTTGCGGTTTTCGGGTAGCGGCTTTTTCTTCGCATTTCCACCTTGCCGTTCAGGTGAAAAAGAAGAAGAAGAAAAAAAAAAAAACACATATGTATAGCATTACATGCATAGGACATACACACAGTACATATGTGCAGCATATATTAACAGAGATCGCGCTGATGCGGAGGTAATTTCATTTTGCAGACGCCATGGCCCTACTCTGGAAACATGAAACATGGAAGCCGATTGGGCAGCATTCGTTTGTGATAACCTTCCTCACGTGGGGCGAATGTACGCATACACCCCCTTCTTCTGGTAAAAGCGTCCGTATAGCAGTTTTGCATTCGTTGACTCGGCGTGCGACTGTTTCACCCCCTGGTGCTATCTCTACCACCGCGCAACACTGCGTGTGTTTATGTTTAGCAGCGCGATGACATGGATGTTCGCCTATGTGATGTATGCAATGAAGCGTATGGAATGTTAGCTTATGCAATGAAGCGTATGGAATGTGAGCTTATGCAATGTATGCCTATGCAAAGTGCGCGTCCCAAACTGCGCATGCCCGAATGCACATCCGCGTGATGCCCCAAGCGCTCGCGAGAAATACGAACGCATGAATAGAAAAGCCCATTTGGCAGGATGATACATTTAAAAAAATATATCATCTGCCATTTTGTCCTCCCCCAATTGAGCATCGCTTTAAATGTACGAAACATTTTATACTTTTTCTTTCCCCCTTTTAAGTGAACCCTTTACTTACCAAAGTGCGCATTGCTCGGCGCGAGTACTACGTGTATATGTATACGCACATCCGTATGCATGTGCATGATTAAAAAAAAGTTCACCTCACGTGAAGTGAACGCATAGACATATGCATATGTGCCGCGTTTCGTCAGGAATACATTTTTGCGAAGCGGATAAGCGTATGGTCTCCCCACCCCCTGGCTTCGTTGCATCACTTGGCTGAATCACTTCGCCGCCTCACTTGTTTACTCCCCCTTTTGGCTTAATTTTTCCCCCAACACCCCATTTTTTCAATTTTTTGAAAGGGAGAAATTCGTCTTTTTTGATACCTCCCCCCCAGAGGCGAAGCTGTGCTTGCAAATCGCTTCCGCATCGCACGTGTGTACGTGAATGCATACCTGTTACATACGTGTGTACATACATGGCATTTGCAAATTTGCACATTTGCGCACGTTCATATGCCCATTTTCCCATTTGTTCACGCGAAAGAACGCCCATTCCTTTTTTTCACCCCCAACAATGTGCTGATTTTACCAAGGCCCAATTTGTCAATTTTTAATGACTGCCTTTGTGTAATAGGCAGACCTACTGGCCAAAAAAAAAGAAAGAAAGAAAAAAAAATATATTTACTGTGGGGGTTGAACAGAAGAACTTATCTTTGCAGAAAGTCGCATTTTTCCTTGAACCCTTGCTGTATGCCGTGCGTTGTGCGCTGTGCGTTTTGCGCCGTTTATTTTCTCCTCCATTTGATACTTCCACATGTTTACATTTTTTGGCGTATTTTTCGGGCATCTTTGGGGCACTTTTTTCTCCCGTGCCAGTCCACTCCTTTAAGGGGTGTGAAGAGAGGAGCACACATATATAAGTGCCAAATGTGTATGCCTTTTTATTTTTTTTTTCGCCCCTCCTTTTTCCCTCCTTATTTCTTTTTCTTCTTCTTGTGCCGCCTCTTTTTCTTCCCTTCTCCACCAGTTTGTAAACCAATGTGTGTATAAGTAACTCCTGCAATTGCCTCTAGGTTGTGACATGTGCATCCACGAGTTGTGCAAGTTTTGCATAATCTGCGTTATGTGCTTCTTCTGCTCAGCGTATGTTCCGTGTTGAGCGTTTTATGCCTCCTGTGTGCTTTGCACCTCTTCTTGTGAAGGGAGGCACATGTTCGGAAAGGGAATTACCAATTACACCACGTTTTTCTCAATTGTGTACATCGCAAAGGGGAAAAAAAAAGAAGCAGCACATGAGGAAAGTAAGAAGTGTAAAGTGTGAAGCGAAAGGCAAAGGGCCAAAAGCGCAAAACGATTGTTTTTTTTTTCATTTTCTTTTCAACTGTGTCGCAGTTTACGCGTTCATTTCACCCTCTTTAAGGAAACCATGAAGATGGAATTAAATTTCAATTTCACCCCCTTCTGTTTTCTGTAAAATAACCAAAGCATATACTCCTCATTTATATGTTTGCTAATTTAGCTGCCATTTTATTTCCTCTTTGTTGCCACCTTAGCTTTGCATCCTCTTCTTCTCTTTCCCATTTTTTGTTAATAATTTTTTCTTTAAAATGATTTCTTTCTTTTTTGAATAATTTCTTCTTTTTTCAATAATTTCTTCTTTTTT